CCCCAAAACCCCAAAACCCCAAAACCCCAATTCAGAAGAATTTATTGGAATTTGGATTATAAAATTATACATATTTAGCGCATATGGAGACATTAGAAGGCAATATGGAAGATGAGGACCATGTCCCAGATTTATCGACTATAAATAGACCAGTAGACATCCCGAGAGTAGGTATGAGCTCTATAGAAAGAAGAAACACAGCTGGCTTGGTGCTATTTGCGATGTTCCAGGGCCTTATTATCATTCCCAACCTCCCATTCATGACGTATCTGTACGATGACCTCGGGCTGACCCCTGGCCAGCTGTCTATTTTCAATGGGTTTATCAACTATGTGTGGGCATTCAAAGTCGTTTTTGGCTTCGTGGTGGACTGCGTTTATATACTTGGATACAGAAGAAAGTCTAATCTACTGATTGCAACAGCTGCATGCACAATTGGGTGGATCTGTATGGGATTTTGGGTAGAAGGACTGGTAGCAGCTATAATTGCTAAGCTCTCAATCAATATCTCAATTGGTATTATAAATACAGTTGCTGAAGCCTTGATGGTAGAAATGACCATTTCCAAAAATATTGAGAACACCTCACCAAAAGAAATTCAAAATCAAGAAGAAACCTCCAGTAATCCCATATCCATCGAATCAAAAAGCAACAAAAATAAATACCAACAACTCAACGAAGCTGATCATGAAAATAAGTTAGTTTATCATGTGTTTAATCAAAATAGATCTAGTGATGACTTAAGTCAGAATTTAGAAGGAAATAATATTTCTACAACATGTGAAGAGGATTTTACTAAGAAATCTAAACAGCACCAAGCCAATGCTGCAGGATTTGTGTCCATATTCTTGGGTGCTACTTATCTCTTCTCAATGCTCGGAATTTGGCTTGGAGGGTTTCTTAAAGGCAAATGGTCGAACCAACTCATTTTCAAAGTCAGTGCCACGATTAGCATTGTCCCTCTGGTTACAGCCTTCGTGTTTTATGAGAAACGCAAAGTTTCTGTTGTTCCTCCTGAGTCATATGAGAGAAGGGGAGGATACTGCAGATACTTCAAGAGAGTGTTCAGAACTCTGTGGAAATATCTGAAACAAGGATTTATATTCAAGCCAACAGTATTTATGTTTTTGGTGTTGCTAACTCCATCTATCGACTCAGTGATGTTTACCTTCCAAACAGATGTTCTCAAGTTTTCGTACCAGTTTATGTCGAACATATCACTGGCCACATTTGTAGTGAACATTCTGGCAGTAATTGTGTACAGGAAGTTCCTTCTGCATGTGTCTTTGAGGAGACTTATTACAGTGACGACAGTGCTCTTTAGCTTAGCTCAAGCTATGAAGTTAATCATAATATTCCAATTGAACTCGAAAATTGGAATAAGTAACAAAGTGTTTTTCATAATTAATCAGTGATTCTTTTAGTTTTATCAATGAGATTCATCTGATGCCACTTATGGTGATGGCCACCAGAATCTGTCCCAAGAATCTTGAAGCCACAGTTTACGAGTTCATAATGTCAGTGATCAATCTGGCCTACCTGGTCAGCTACCAATCAGGAGGAGCCATTTCGGAACTCCTTGACATCCGCAAAGGCAACTATGACAACCTGTGGATCCAGATCATCATAACGAGTGTGTTTCCGTTATTGGTGCTGTGAGTCGTCTTCATCGTACCTAATGACTTTGCAGAGAAGGTAGAAAAATTCTCTAAAACTATTGCTGATGAAAAAGAAGTCTAGAGGCTAAAATAATACAATTTGAAAGTATTAGAATTTTAAAAGATCCAAAAGATTCAACCCAGATACTCTCTGCTGGGGTTTTGGGGTTTTGGGGTTTTGGGGTTTTGGGG